CAACATTTGACCCATGAACTGTGTGGAGAGGGTTAACGATAACAACTTAAAAAAATTATCTGATTTCTTGGCTCTTCTGTTAAGAAACAAAAAGTGACATTGAAAAGTAACTTCAAGGTTACATTTTTTACGATAAATTTTGAACAGATGTGAAATCTTAACATTTCATAATACCATGTTCAACTTCAAACATGTGTAGATTTTTAACATTTTGTAGAAGTACTTAAACTTTTATCATATAGTGTTGTCATAATACAATACTCCACTTTGAACAGATGTGGGGTCTTAACAGTAGCAGTACTAAAGTTTTTGTACTCACACCTTACAGCACAGATAACCTGTTGGGAGGCTCAGCACTTAAACATAAGTTCTAGTAAATATCTATGGGTTTTTGAGTCCGTTTTACTTCAACATGTAGTAACCTAAATTAATTTAGGTATGTGAATAATGTTATGATGGTACGGCCAATCAAAGAATGCATCGTGGATACTCTTTAACATATATACAGTTTTAGTTCATGTTTTTTATGTTACTTTTTTGGGAATATTCTCCCTTATTGTGTACAGTGAATAGTTGTTATTTTTGCATTTTTAAATGCTTGTTCTCTTTTTTATATCAAAATGTTTTTTGTAATTTTGAACAATTTTATATTTTTCAGTGTTCACTCACTTTTTGATAATTGTGACTGTTTGTTTGTAAATAATTGTTTATGTTTACTTTTATAAATGTTCATTGTTTCTTTTTTTTGTAAGAAAATATGTAGTGCACAAATGGCTTCTGTCCCTCTAATATTTAAAAAGAATGGTTTATCTCTACAAACTTGTAGGGTCAGTTTGTGTCACTAGAGCTTCGAAGTGGGAAGATAGTATACCAGGCCAGTGTTGGGCCAACCACTAGCAGACTCATTGTTAGTACAACGAAAAGTTTCAACAATGGATACTTGACAAGAACAACCATACAGCGGCGAGGAAACAAAGGTTAGGTCCTGCACATTCCACAAGATTCTTATAAATTCATTGTAAAGCTAATTTGTATATGCTGGTCATAGAGGTTAACTATGTGAGGGATCTGTATTGTTCTGGTATATGTTTTATCAATATTTAGGTCATAAATAAAACATACTCAAACCATTGCCCACAGTGTGTGTATTGAGGTTAAGACAATGAGAACTTTGTTTAAGTCTTAACAACCATACTTGAAAACAATTATTTTTAGTTACTCGAAATGAAACGTAAAACAAACTGGGTTAGTAATTGTGACAAAATGTATACAGATTTTTATAACACATCCCCGTTGAAGTTAAGAACTAGTTACCTGTTAATTTCAATCTATCCATAAAAGAATCAGATGTAAGCAATTTATTGCAAAGAAGAAACGTGATGTCTATGTATAAGAGAGATTTTTTGTAATATCTCCAGTTTGGTTTTAAAAGTTCATTATTAAAGTCAACTTGCATATATAATCAGATATATATATAATAGTAGTAAGTTTTCACGACTGTAATTTAAATTTTTAAATTGAATGTTAAGAAGATGAAAGTTCCTGCTGCAAAAAATCTTTAATTTTAACTTATTAACTACTTGAAAGTTAAAGAGTATGACTTATTAAGGTTGTAGAAAGACTTGATAATGAAATATGTTCATTTCCTGTTGACTTTCATGTTTGTGGATTGTACAGTTATATATTTGACATTTTTCCTGTAAGTAACTGATCTTTATTATTCTTTTGTTTCCTCATTTTGCCACTTAGTCTATCTTCTTGCAAATAACAGTATCATTGAAGGCAAAGCAGATGACTGGAAAAAAAACGATAAAATTGAACTGAATTTGAGTACAAAGATGTATTATGGAGGAGTTCCACCTAACTTTAGTGCTTCCAGGTTAGTTTTCTCTCCCTGGTGTTAATATTAAACAGTAGTCATGGAGAAAGCTTTGAAATAAGAAAATAGTGAATTATATTGTCATATTTGCGTGATGCTAAAACCTAATTCTGATTTGTAATGACTTAAATAAAATCAGTTCCCTAACTTAATCTAGTTTACACTGTAACAGTTGTTGACCAAGTATCTGATGATAAAAATAGTGTCTTATCCCTTACCATATGCGTCATATCCCAGCTGAGCTTATGAGCTCTGGTTTTGGGTGAAAGGCCTCATTGGCACCGAATGTAGCAGATGCGTGGTTAACATATTATTACATTCTTCTTTATCTTCACTAATAAGGTTTTCTAACACTAGATAAACTAAATAAATACTTTTTTTTAGATGCTTAATACCATTTTATACTAGTACAAAAGTATCGTGAACATTTTCTCTATTATTAGTATTTTGTTTTT